GGGGGCAGGTGTGTGTGTGTGTGTGCCGGGGGCAGGTGTGTGTGTGTGTGTGCCGGGGGCAGGTGTGTGTGTGTGTGTGCCGGGGGCAGGTGTGTGTGTGTGTGTGCCGGGGGCAGGTGTGTGTGTGCCGGGGGCAGGTGTGTGTGTGCCGGGGGCAGGTGTGTGTGTGCCGGGGGCAGGTGTGTGTGTGCCGGGGGCAGGTGTGTGTGTGCCGGGGGCAGGTGTGTGTGTGCCGGGGGCAGGTGTGTGTGTGCCGGGGGCAGGTGTGTGTGTGCCGGGGGCAGGTGTGTGTGTGCCGGGGGCAGGTGTGTGTGTGCCGGGGGCAGGTGTGTGTGTGCCGGGGGCAGGTGTGTGTGTGCCGGGGGCAGGTGTGTGTGTGCCGGGGGCAGGTGTGTGTGTGCCGGGGGCAGGTGTGTGTGTGCCGGGGGCAGGTGTGTGTGTGCCGGGGGCAGGTGTGTGTGTGCGGGGGGGCAGGTGTGTGTGTGCCGGGGGCAGGTGTGTGTGTGCCGGGGGCAGGTGTGTGTGTGCCGGGGGCAGGTGTGTGTGTGCCGGGGGCAGGTGTGTGTGTGCCGGGGGCAGGTGTGTGTGTGCCGGGGGCAGGTGTGTGTGTGCCGGGGGCAGGTGTGTGTGTGTGTGTGTGTGTGCCGGGGGCAGGTGTGTGTGTGTGTGTGCCGGGGGCAGGTGTGTGTGTGTGTGTGCCGGGGGCAGCAGGTGTGTGTGTGTGTGCCGGGGCAGGTGTGTGTGTGTGTGTGTGCCGGGGCAGGTGTGTGTGTGTGTGTGTGCCGGGGGCAGGTGTGTGTGTGTGTGTGTGCCGGGGGCAGGTGTGTGTGTGTGTGTGTGCCGGGGGCAGGTGTGTGTGTGTGTGTGTGTGCCGGGGGCAGGTGTGTGTGTGTGTGTGTGTGCCGGGGGCAGGTGTGTGTGTGTGTGTGTGTGCCGGGGGCAGGTGTGTGTGTGTGTGTGTGTGCCGGGGGCAGGTGTGTGTGTGTGTGTGTGTGCCGGGGGCAGGTGTGTGTGTGTGTGTGTGTGCCGGGGGCAGGTGTGTGTGTGTGTGTGTGTGTGCCGGGGGCAGGTGTGTGTGTGTGTGTGTGCGCCGGGGGCAGGTGTGTGTGTGTGTGTGTGTGCGCCGGGGGCAGGTGTGTGTGTGTGTGTGTGTGCCGGGGGCAGGTGTGTGTGTGTGCCGGGGGCAGGTGTGTGTGTGTGCCGGGGGCAGGTGTGTGTGTGTGCCGGGGGCAGGTGTGTGTGTGTGTGTGCCGGGGGCAGGTGTGTGTGTGTGTGTGTGCCGGGGGCAGGTGTGTGTGTGTGTGTGTGCCGGGGGCAGGTGTGTGTGTGTGTGTGTGCCGGGGGCAGGTGTGTGTGTGTGTGTGTGCCGGGGGCAGGTGTGTGTGTGTGTGTGTGCCGGGGGCAGGTGTGTGTGTGTGTGTGTGCCGGGGGCAGGTGTGTGTGTGTGTGTGTGCCGGGGGCAGGTGTGTGTGTGTGTGTGTGCCGGGGGCAGGTGTGTGTGTGTGTGTGTGCCGGGGGCAGGTGTGTGTGTGTGTGTGCCGGGGGCAGGTGTGTGTGTGTGTGTGCCGGGGGCAGGTGTGTGTGCGCGCCGGGGGCAGGTGTGTGTGTGTGTGTGTGTGTGTGTGTGCCGGGGGCAGGTGTGTGTGTGCCGGGGGCAGGTGTGTGTGTGTGTGCCGGGGCAGGTGTGTGTGTGTGCCTGGGGCAGGTGTGTGTGTGTGTGTGTGTGTGTGTGTGTTTGTGTGCGCGCGCGCGCGCCAGGGGGCAGGTGTGAGAGTGGCCGTGGTCCATGTGAGGAGTACTCGCCAGCTCTCATCTGGTGACAGCCGCCAGGTGGCTTTCAGGGGGGCAGGCAAGAGGCGCCACACGCCACAGCTGGTGCTGGTGGTGGAGTCGGCGGTGAGAGAACTCTCTCCTCTTGTCACGCTGGCCGCCCGCACCCGCTGACACCTAGCTCTCTCTCTCTGCCATTATCTGTTGTTTAGTGATCATGTTTGTCAGTGTATACAGATGGTCAGGAGGAGGGGGGCGCCCCCCTCCTCCTGACACCAGGGGGGGGGGCGCCCCCCGCGGCCACACCAGAAGGCCCCGGGGTCACACCCAGGAGAGTCGCAGCTAATATAAATAATGTTATATTATGTTGCAGTTCCTACATTACAAGAGAGACGTGGTCGACACATTCCCCGCTTGACATTTTCAGCCGCCATTTAAAGCTTGTATAATACCACGTTTTCCTCGCTCATCTCTGCCCCTCAGCCCCCCACACACACCATAAACAACAACTGTAAACAATAGTGACCTTCATGCTGGGTGCACACAAGGCCCCATTTACTCTGGCTGTAGCACGTAACCTCAGGCCACGAGAACAATGAGTTTATATTGATGCTCTTAATACACGTCTCAGTTGTTGAGTCGCGTCATTCATGCGATATGTGGTTTTTAATTTTGCCCCGAGGGGCGAGTTTATTGGGCAGCGTCACTCATCCTGTGAGTGGACACACCGCCATAGTGACAGTATTGGGCAGCGCCACTCATCCTGTGAGTGGACACACCGCCATAGTGACAGTATTGGGCAGCGTCACCCATCCTGTGAGTGGACACACCGCCATAGTGACAGTATTGGGCAGCGCCACTCATCCTGTGAGTGGACACACCGCCATAGTGACAGTATTGGGCAGCGCCACTCATCCTGTGAGTGGACACACCGCCATAGTGACAGTATTGGGCAGCGCCACTCATCCTGTGAGTGGACACACCGCCATAGTGACAGTATTGGGCAGCGCCACTCATCCTGTGAGTGGACACACCGCCGTAGTGACAGTATTGGGCAGCGCCACTCATCCTGTGAGTGGACACACCGCCATAGTGACAGTATTGGGCAGCGTCACTCATCCTGTGAGTGGACACACCGCCATAGTGACAGTATTGGGCAGCGTCACTCATCCTGTGAGTGGACACACCGCCATAGTGACGGTATTGGGCAGCGCCACTCATCCTGTGAGTGGACACACCGCCGTAGTGACAGTATTGGGCAGCGCCACTCATCCTGTGAGTGGACACACCGCCGTAGTGACAGTATTGGGCAGCGCCACTCATCCTGTGAGTGGACACACCGCCATAGTGACAGTATTGGGCAGCGCCACTCATCCTGTGAGTGGACACACCGCCATAGTGACAGTATTGGGCAGCGCCACTCATCCTGTGAGTGAACACACCGCCATAGTGACAGTATTGGGCAGCGCCACTCATCCTGTGAGTGGACACACCGCCATAGTGACAGTATTGGGCAGCGTCACTCATCCTGTGAGTGGACACACCGCCATAGTGACAGTATTGGGCAGCGCCACTCATCCTGTGAGTGGACACACCGCCATAGTGACAGTATTGGGCAGCGCCACTCATCCTGTGAGTGAACACACCGCCATAGTGACAGTATTGGGCAGCGCCACTCATCCTGTGAGTGGACACACCGCCATAGTGACAGTATTGGGCAGCGCCACTCATCCTGTGAGTGGACACACCGCCATAGTGACAGTATTGGGCAGCGCCACTCATCCTGTGAGTGGACACACCGCCATAGTGACAGTATTGGGCAGCGCCACTCATCCTGTGAGTGGACACACCGCCATAGTGACAGTATTGGGCAGCGCCACTCATCCTGTGTGTGGACACACCGCCATAGTGACAGTATTGGGCAGCGCCACTCATCCTGTGAGTGGACACACCGCCATAGTGACAGTATTGGGCAGCGCCACTCATCCTGTGAGTGGACACACCGCCATAGTGACAGTATTGGGCAGCGTCACTCATCCTGTGAGTGGACACACCGCCATAGTGACAGTATTGGGCAGCGCCACTCATCCTGTGAGTGGACACACCGCCATAGTGACAGTATTGGGCAGCGCCACTCATCCTGTGAGTGGACACACCACCATAGTGACAGTATTGGGCAGCGTCACTCATCCTGTGAGTGGACACACCGCCATAGTGACAGTATTGGGCAGCGCCACTCATCCTGTGAGTGGACACACCGCCATAGTGACAGTATTGGGCAGCGCCACTCATCCTGTGAGTGGACACACCGCCATAGTGACAGTATTGGGCAGCGTCACTCATCCTGCGAGTGGACACACCGCTATAGTGACAGTATTGAGCAGCGCCACTCGTCCTTTGAGTGGACACACCGCCATAGTGACAGTATTGGGCAGCGCCACTCATCCTATGAGTGGGCACACCGCCATAGCAGCATGTACAACACTCCCCAATAGGAAGAACCCGCTGGGTTGTTCATCCTGTCACTTGCACCCAGACACAGCTGGGACTTGCTTAACTGTCTTAAGTGAACAGCTCCTCAAACAAGTGTTGACAAATGTCAATCTCCTTAAGTACTTACGTTATCTTGGGGGTGCAAAATCGGAGAATCTTTTAACAATACAAAATTTGACAAATTGTATTTTCCTAACACACTCAATGTTGGGTTTAATATTAAACACATTTCTAATGCCTTTTATAGGTTCACTCTCTCAGGTAGTGGTCAAGGCGGTGTCCATCACTCACTACAGATTCTGCAACTCCTCTGCTCAACTGTTGTTTCCATTATGAATCTCCATGGCTGTATGTATCCAAGACAGATTCTCGCTATTACTGATTCTCTCCCGTGTCCACCTCCTCTTCGTCCATAATGATTGGGATTGCCAGCTGTAACCATATTGTATCAGCGTACAGATTCACTGCTTTGTGCTTCTATCCTCCTCTCCTCAGTTACCTTGTCATGATGATGTTGCCTGACAATACCTTTTATTAGTAGCAGAGTCTTGGATATGAAGTATTCAATATGGTCTTCTTCAGCAGCCAACACATCTGCTTGTTCATATGGTGCTACATAGCCTTCCCGGCTTGGTGCCTTCTTTGATAATTACTACTACTGAGCGTTCATTTCCACACAGTCCAACATGGGAAGGGATCCACAGGAACTTGACGACTCTTCCCTGGTCGGTTAGTACCTTCACAGCTCTCTTGATTTCAGTGACTATTGCAGGATTTTCTGCACGATTTTTACTTCGGCTTTGTGGCGTTGTTTTTGAATCGGTGCAGATCACTGCCCTGTTAGTGTTTCGTTTAAGTAATCTTAACGTCATAACAATGGCAGTTAGCTCTGCGTGCGTTGAAGAGGTGCACGCGCGTTGTGTGCGCGCCCGCGAGCAGAGCGGCCGTGAGCCTGCGTGTGGTGGGCCTCGGGAGAAGGGAGGTGCGGCGGCGATGATCACAAGGCCTAGCCTGGTAGCCTGGAGAACCCTAACGTCCCCCTGAACCTCGCCGACAGAACCAACGTCCTGAAGATCCAACGGGTCCAAAACAAACCACTTGGCTTCGTGGCGCGTCTGTCGCTGTGGGCAGGGTATGAACAGACCCTCCAGTCTCTCAACATGCCAGTGAACACCAGGCTTGGCTGCCTGGCCTAACTTCATGCGGCAGCTGTACCGCAT